CACACACACACACACACACATACACACACACGCACTCACACACAAACACACACAACACACACACATACACATAATAATATGTCTGACGTGTTTCGTTACATCAGGAGAATTCCATTTGCGGTAATTTCAGGAACTGAATAGGATATTTTGTGACAGTACGATATAATAATGCGTGGCATAGAACCGTTTTAATTCGGATTTCGGCACATCTCATTTGCGATATCAAGTATCGTTAAACTTTAGGGCGTACATATTTTTTATAGGCACAGCTACAGGTTAACTTTACTTTACACCAATACTCCCCTCTTCTGCGTTTTCATGGTTCAGGACTGTCATGAGACTGCATATTAATTAATTAATTCATCCATTCATTTGTTTGTTTGTTGTTGGGTTGTTTTTTCCCCCACACTTTCATTATCTGCATTTCTTTGAGGCTTCCGTGGAAGGCAATATGGGAAGCACGGTGTTTCTCTCAGGAAGCGGGGGGTTGGGGGTGTAATTAGGTGGAATTAATTAAATATTGAAATTCAAATTAAAGGTCTGCATAATATGTAGATCTAATGGTTAAATAAGATCTTCACCGGGAGAACTGTTTTCAAGAGATGACGTTGTTAACATCGTTTGGTAAAAGTGGATAATATGTATGCAAGGAGGTTATAGCAAAACATTCTAAGGTCCATGGATATAATAATATACGCCTAGATTGTCTTAGTTTGCCTGCCAAAACTAAATTTCTGGAAAATTTAGATTTTTGTACTGGACCCTACTTCCGGCTCATCCTCATCTTTGTTGTAGATCTATGAGGTTGTGACCTGTGAACTCAGAACTGTGAACGGAATCACTACATTGATCAACTACACACAACACAGTTCAACAGTAACACACTCATCACTCAGCTGTGCGACTGTGCGAGCTTGGCGCGTGATCCAAATGAATAGAGTGTAGAATCTAGTCAACTACTCTGTGTGTAGACCTGAATCAGAGACTAGTCTAAAGTATTGAGTGGAAATAAGAAATCATGTCATCTTCTCTATCAGTATTTCAGTGTGAAAGCTGCCGATCAATTCTTGGTGATTCGTCGTCATATGTTTGTTTCAACGAAGATCTTCGCAGTGTTACTTTGTCTATGCCCACAGGTGACAAGAGATGATCTAGATCTAGATCTAGATCTAGATCTAGATCTAGGCCTACTGTACCAGTAGTTGAAGTTGTTGTAGCTAGATTCTAATATTACTTCTGATGACATGATTCATGATATAGGCAGGCGCTATTTGCTACGCCGCGTTCTGAATAGCTCCCGTGCTTCTATTTGAAACGCCGCTTAAGTTCTTTAATGTACCGCTAGCCATGCAGTCTAGCCTAGCAGTCTAGCCGTCATTAAGTACGGCTTGCCTCTTCCTTTGGTGAAAGGAAAAGTATAAGCTATACAAAGGCCTGTGCTTTGTACAGAGCTCCTCTTGGGGACAAAACCAGAATGTGCATGCTTCACCACTACTTTAAAAAACTACAAAGCAATGTAACTTGTAAGTTATAATTTATGGGAAAAATTTGTTGGTCAGTCAAGAAGAGGACAAGAAGCAAGAAAAACTTCCAGGACCGGGATCGAACCCACGCTCATAAAATAATGGTTGGGCTTTGAACGGAGACGTGCTGTCACTTCGGCCATCAGAACTTCCAACAACGATAGGTAGATTAAGCTTATAGCCTAGGCTAACACACGGCTTTTTATTTAGCACTTGCGCTAATGGCAACGCAGTGTTTTATTTAGTACTGGTGCTATTGGCAACACAGTGTTGCAAATAGGCACTTCCTTAAATCAATTAAATTTTCGGCCTGCTCTAGATTCTATTTCTCCGAACGGAGTGACTATTCGGACTCGTGTCCGAATATGAAAAAATGTTATTCGGACTCTGCTTCTTGTCTAGCATGACATCACTTCCGACTTCTGACTTCCTGTGACTCGTGACTCGGGCTTCCTGTCCTGCGTCACTCGTGACTCGCCTCAGGCTGGGTAGAGACCGGGATCACTTCGGGCAAAATGGCGTTTTGTGCAGGAGCCGAGTTTTTATCATATATATGAATGATGAATTTGAGGCCGGCCTGAAAAGTTATAGTGCTTTTAATAAATGCATGGGTCTCAATATTCCGCTATTTAGCGGATTTCCGCTACTGTACTGCCATTTCCTCCGCTAAACTCCGTTACCGCGACAGCGGGCCAATCAACAAGAGAGTTGCTGGGAGCAGGGTGACTGTCAGGCCCCGGGAATTCGAAGAAAAAAAAATTGCAGAGACCCGGGAAAATAATATAAATAAAAGATCACGAATATTTGAAAACCAAATTCGATAAAGTTTTAAGTTCATTTTTGCATGTCGCTTTTGTCGGTCTGAGAGTACGTTTCACGCAAACAGGCGACTATGGCGGCAAGTGGAATTGTATGTGACTCGAGGCTCGACCGGAAAATCAAGATCTACTTTCGCTTTCGTTACCACCCAGAAATTTGTCAAAATAATAGTCTGATAACGCAACATTTGTAACACGTAGGTTCTGCATTACAAACGTGGTGTCGCCATGAAAATAATCAATATAATTCGTCACTGTGCTTTCACTTGAGGGGTAAAAAAGTAAAAGAAAGCTATACAAGCGTCTTGTCGGGCTCGCTTACTGAAAAGTCCTTGCCGGTCAGTGAACCTGCGAGCGTTCTGAGCGCTGCGAAGTACAGGACTCCGGAGTGGGGGGAGATTATTGATTTTTTTTTTTTTAAGATATACTTGGGGATGGGGGGGGGGGTGGGGGGGGGGGGAGGGCTGGACGCAACATCAGAGGACCAAAAAAAAACTGAACTTGGAAGCACATTTTTAATATTTAGAATTTTGATTACTACTACAGCTCTCTGAAAAGTAAAGTGCGCGTTGGTGCAGGCCTTGTGTGAAATCGGGAACCGTCATAACTTGTAAGCGTGTTATTGAACTTAAGGGCCTAAGTGTTCGCGTTTCATTGGACGGGTGACAGTACTTATATATTAATTCTCTATATTTTAGCTTTCTGTAGAAGATTTGCAGATTTCCAGTGTCACTGCATCTTGCCCTCCCACAGTTCTTACACATCTCACACTGAATAGGTCTACTTGAGCTATTCAAGTTATTACTCTACTTTGAGTTTGAGCATTAATTTTTGTCTTTCACGTATATTATGATATGAATCATGACACCCAGACTGGTTCATGACAGTCGATATTCTGGTTCTAGGCTTTTTCTCAGGCTCAAAACTAGATTAATTTTTAAATAGTCAATATATATGCAGGCGAATATTATGATGAAGGGAAAATATAAATAATAAGTCACACAAGACCCCAGTGCGCCACCACTTTCTGTACGTAATCAGGATTGTAAATATTTGGTAAGCGATTCTTCCTTGAAATTATCTTCCAAACCCTCAAATTGGTGTGAAATAACCTTGCTTTGATAAATCAATGGTTTTTATTTCAGCATTCTAGGGTTCAACAGTTATACAATGTAATAATAATGAGCATTTCACGAAAATGGGCTTCTGTCGTGATCACTCGGAAAGTTCCTCCTTTTTTAAAATTCAGAATTGAGACCCATGTAAATGTTTATTTGTCAAGAGGTCATCAGAAGCAATTAAAGATGTCTCGTTAGCGTGTGTTGGGGTCGGATGGGCGGCCTGCACATGTGTGGCTGTGTGTGCGTGTCAGGGAGGGGGCGCACTATCGGGACGGGCGTTGAACGTCGCATACGCGTCAGTCTTTTTTCTCCTGGCAACTGATCGTTATTACAATAATAAGCTAGTCTTGACGTAGATCTCTAAGTAATGATTGTGCGCTGGTCTATGTAATCAAAAGTTGCCGTATGCTCGGCTCTGCACAGCTACACAACTTTTTCTTGGTAAACAATCGAGATGACACAGGCTTGTGTATTAGAACGAATCCGTCTTTTTTTTTACACAGCTCATAATATGCAGGTGCCAGGTGGTCTGCTAATCTTCATTTTTACCTTTTTCTACAACAAAGAAAGTGGGAAACATGGGGGGCGGGGGGGCGTATCAATGAGGCGGCGGGCATCGGATCGGCAGATAAGGTGTGGGGGAAACTAAAAAATGGCGGAAAATGGGAAGCACTGAACGTTAGATCTATAGAACGAAGACACTTCCTTTTTTCTGGACCCGAGTCCGAATAACATTTTTTTCATATTCGGACTCGAGTCCGAATAAAGACAGCCTTCTCCGAACGTTTGGGGAAAATAAACTTGAACTCTATTTCTCCTAATGGTTTCCGTTCTCGAGATTTGTTGATCTAAAATTACGAATGGAATGGTCCATGTGTGTGTGTGTGCATGTGTGTAGGTGTAAGGTGTGAACGGGGGGGGGGGGATTTTTTTTTACATGAAGGACTTTATTTTTTTTGCTGGATGACTAAATGCAAAATAGGTTACTGCCAACGTCGATAAGTCTTGTTTTCTCTGCAGTACCTTTTGAAGGTATTTTCAAATGTAGTATAGTCCGGGAACGTTGCCCCAACCACAACTGAGAAACCGTTTGGAGAAATAGAGTTCTAGTTTATTTTCCCGAACGTTCTGAGAAATAGTCCCTTCGTTTTCAGTTTGTAGACACTTCCCAAGTGTGTTCCAGGAATGAGTTTTCAGACGTCCTTTAATTATGGAAGAGCCTGTTAAGTTAAATGACAGCTAAACTGCTAGGCTAGCCGGCTAGATTGGCAGGCTAGCAGTACTAAATTACGGTTAGACGGCAAGACTAGTTGTACTAGGAAGGTAACCGGTCATTTCTCCCCCCTTCTCTCTCTCCCCTCTCATTCTCTCTCTCTCTCTCTCTCTCTCTCTCTCTCTCTCTCTCTCTCTCTCTCTCTCTCTCTCTCTTTCTCGCACACACAGACACACACACTGCGCTGACAAAATTACACGCTTTTAACTCGAGAGCGCTGGAACGTTTGTTTACCCTCAATAGTAGCTTTTCTTGTAGATTCTATGTTCCTTCTTCCAGCACAATATTTGATTCGGAGTAGAAGAGACACGAAGTCGGGTTTCGTAGTAGTGTAGTTCTGTACCTAGTAACCAAGTAATTTTGTATGGCTGTCTAACTTCTCAGTTTGTCGCAAATTCATTAGTGCAGGTTTAGCCTAGAGAGTTCTTTGGCCTGACTTTATATTTTATGGAAATCACAGAATCTTTTTTCAGTCTCAATATTTAAGTATCTTAAGTTTAGGGTAAAAGTAAATAAGTAAAACTGTAAGCCAGGTTTTGAATTTTGGGGCTGAAGGAAAGGGCATTCCGATCTTTTCTTTTTTGACACTTTATACTTTATCTTTACTTTTTATGTAAATTGAAAGCATCATGATAATCATACTCTAGAGCATAGAAAGCTTTTCGACAATGTGCATTTTGGCAGCGCTGAGAAAATCGTATTTAAACTCCTTAACACCATCATTATTATTACATTATAATTTTAAAAAAAAGATTTTTATTCCCCGCGTCGACACAATTGAGAGTAGGCGAACTATTTCAGATTTCAAAGTGTTGGACAGGTTGTCATCATGGGCAGTCTGGCATGCACACATTGCGAAATTAGTGGGATGCAGAAATCTTTTCATTTTTGGGTGTTTTTTTTAATTCCCCCCGTCGACACAATTGAGAGTAGGCGAACTATTTCAGATTTCAAAGTGTTGGACAGGTTGTCATCATGGGCAGTCTGGCATGCACACATTGCGAAATTAGTGGGATGCAGAAATCTTTTCATTTTTGGGGGGTTTTTTGGTAAGTGTTTTACGGCGCTCGCAACTGCACAAGGTCATATGAGCGTGCGGGACACAGTAAACATTTTCAGTTTGGTAGAAAATTTTGAATTTTGCTGGCGTGGCGGCCAAAGCCTACTCTTATCGATCTAAGACTTCCAAGTAAGAGATCTTTAATGTGCGCAACTTGCACATGGGACCTCCAAGATTTTTTGCTCTTGTCCGAGAAGGCTAGGTGTCTACAGATCTTTCCTACTATAAGATCAGGGGTGTGGCTGAAAGACAGCAGTAAGAAGGAGCCAAGGAGTAGCAGTAGAAAGGTGGCAGAAAGAGTCAGGAGCCCAGATGAGGTGGCAGAGAAGGTGAGGGGGTGGGGACAGACAGTAGAGACGAAAGCAGATGACAGAACCTTGCTAGAGAGCAGGATAGGAGATGAAAGAAGACAATTTTAGAGAAGAAAATTTTTCCGTCGGTACCTGGATTCGAACTCGGGACCTTTGAATGAAAGGCGAACACCTTAACCTCTAGGCTACGAGAGTCCCTCTATTCGTTTTATGATGAAAAATATATTACAATAACAATGCATACATAACATATTGTATGAAGAGAAAAGATTCAGGACCTAAAAATATGTTCCCTTTGTGTTTCAGAATGCGCTTGGTCTATATATGCTAAACTAAGTAAGCTATGATGGTTTCTTTGTAAATTGACTTTTTCTCTTATTTTCCTTCAGGTACACAACCACAGTTTATTGAAGTGCAGGCTCTGAAAAAGAAGCACCAAAGCGAAATTGTGGATTTTCATAAGAAGTGAGTAATGTTTATATAACTCGTAGGGACTTGAAATTGCAACAAAAAAAAAAAGTATAGTGATCCACATGACTCCATGAAATCTCAGACCCTCCAAAACGAGAAGAAATTTTTGTAGTTTGATGAAATCCAACATAGGCCTACATGATGTAATTCATCATGCTCATTAGCAAACTAGGAACATAGCCATATGTTGTGTTTGGTGCTGGGCTGTGATTCCAAACCCTGGCTGTCTGAGCTGGCTCAGTCATATTACATAAAAGTAGGCTGTTTGTTGCACATTTTTCACAATTTGAAATTTCTGTTTTACAAAATTGAGCATTTGTTTTTCAGAGAAATGAGTATGGCTTTTAACCCATACTGAATAGCTTACTCTATTCTACAAGAGCAGCTTTGATGGTGTGTGTTTGCATACCCTTTTTTTCTCTAGCACAATTTCTGATTTCACTGATTGAGTATAAAAATGCGCTCACTGTGTTTTTAAGCCAGATCTCGCCACCCATAACTACTTGAAGTATGTTGATGGAGGTGAGAAGAGGGGTGATGGAATAATGACACCGTCTCCCCCCCCCCTCTCTCTCTCTCTCTCTCTCTCTCTCTCTCTCTCTCTCTCTCTCTCTCTCTCTCTCTCTCTTTTTCTGTCTCACTTTCACTGGAACCTCAGCAACGTTGAACTTTTTACCTGACAAATTTGTTGGTTTGGGATTCACTCTTCCTTGTGGCTGAATAGATATTTTTTATGTTCTGTTAATGATTTAATATATGCAAATGAAAGTTGTCTGTATTTTCAATGTGTCTTAAAGTCAATTTTATGTTTTTTTCACTTCAGAGTCTTTCAGACTGTCACCTGTAAGCACTGTTCACAGCCCGTAGGAATGGTGTTCCATGATCTTCCTGCACATTTATCCCCTATGAATCATCAGATAACATTCCTCGTGGACCAAATCTCAAGGTGATCATTTTTCATTTGCTGTGCTTCTTGACACTTGATTTTTCTGCAAGATTTAGCAAGGCAAATATGTAACGGTAGTCTCGTCTAAATGCATGTTGTGCAAAGGCATGCTCCGCTCAAACGCACACTTTCATTGTATGACATATATATCTCTTGCCCAGTCCTATGTGTTCTCAAGGTGTGGACACGCTGTCCATTACTTTCATTATACTGCGCCTCTGCTCTTACTATATAATTTAGATGTTCAAAGGCACTGTCACTTCCTCCAAACACATATTTCAATCTAAAAATCACGCTGACAGTGACAGCTTGACAAAGGGAAATCTTAACAACATCCTTGACAGTGTACAACATGAAAACTAAGACAGGTCTAGACAATCGGATATTTGCTGAGGCTGTTCCTGAGGCAGCACAGTGAAAGTGATGGACGGTGTATTCACACTGTAAGAATACATAGGATTGGGCTTGGGATATGTGGGGGGAGGGGGACTAAAATGTCTTTTGATTGGTCTCTTGAAATCTTTGAGAGGTTTGTCACTGGTGTTTGGGGGACTGTAATGTTTAGTTAGGTCATGAGGCCCATAGGTCAATGATTTAGTCAATTGGTTATCTTCGCTTGAAGAACTTATAATATACTTGTTCAATTAGTCATTAGAGACAAGTCTCTCACTTTCAGAATGTCTGATGTTACCCATACTTTTACCAAGCTGCAATACCAGGTAGTTGGGAGTGGTAGTTTGAAAAGCCGTGTGGCTGGGTGCTCTTCCCTCTTTGATTATCGCCAACAATCTCTCCTCTGTTCCCAACGTGTTGGCACTCATCTGTATCGGGAAATCCTTTATATGATTCTTTCGTTTCATGAGATTGTTGGTGAAAGCGACCCTCACTCCAAGGGAGGCAACAGTTATCATCAACCGTTTCCCTCTGCTCCTAACACGTAGGTGCTTATCAGTGTTAGGGAATCCTGTACAGTGGAACTTGGTTTCAGTGAACTCGGATTCAATGAAAACTTGGATTCAGCGAAAAGAAATGGATGGATTCCCAGTTTTATTTTTTTGTTGTTAAGATGAATAAGAACAACTCGGATTCAACTAACACGAAAATGAGCTAGCTCGGATTCAATGAAGTCACTTCAGGGTGAACAATCCCTGCTGACGAGACTTCTTGGCTCTTTTTGCACAATGTGTGCTTGGTAGAGTTCAGTGTATTTTCCTTGAAGTTTCCTACATTTCTTTATTATGGTAGCAAGGAAACCAAAATGCCTCTCAGTAGAAACCGAACTGCTTTTGATTGAGGAAATTAAAAGGGTGCAAAATAGCAGGAATTTCAAGGTAGCCTACCACTTTTTACTTCCTTTTATTTTGTATATTACTTGCTGTAATTATATGTTTGTTATAACAAACACACGGATTCAAAGAAATTGAAAGTCAGGCCCGATGACTTCGTTGAATCCGAGCTCTGCTGTATTAAACAGTTATGTTTCATCATGTTGTTGGTGATAATGATGCCCCATCCCCCTCCCCATCCCAAGGGAGGTAACAACCACCACTAAAATTTCGAGAAAATGAGATGGTTGTGTCCCTTTACCCCTTTCCACAGCAGAGAAAACAGTAACTGTTGAACTACTAAAATAATCTCATTTTAATTTAGTAGGCTTTTTCTTTCAAATCAAAGCCTCAGTGCCACTTAACTTTCCAAGAATGTAGCTTTTCACAATTCACACTAGTCGACCTTCATTATATCCTTTCTCAACCTGTGCTGGGGTAAATGCCGCTAACAATAACTCTCCATCATATCCTAAGCTATGGTCTCTACCTTTGTCCACTTTTTTCCATGTCTTTTAAGTCCATCCTCCAAGTATTTTTAGGCCTTCATCTCTTTCTCCTTCCTTGTGGATTCCATCTTAAGGCTAAGTGGGTAATGTTCCCAATCCTATTCAGTTTTTTCAAGGTGTGTCCAATCCACTTCCATTTTCTCATATTGTGTTGTACATTTATTTTCTGTTGTTTTGTTTGCTCCCATAGTTATTTATTTCTTATAGTGTCAGGCCAGTGAAATTTAGGGATTTTCCTTACACTGCAGTTGGACAAATGTCTGTAGCTTTTATTTTGAGGAGTTTGTTTTATGTTCCCTTGGTTCTGATCCATATATATAGAACAGTACTCTTTTGACACCAATGTTTAAAATCTTTATCTTTGTTCTTATTCCAAGAGGTCCTAATTTTCATACATTTCTAAATTGTGTGAAAACACAACTCGATCGTCTCGAAGCTAGCTGATAACAGGTTAGAGAGTGAAAAGTTGTTTTGCACATTTTATGGGAACAAAGAGTCTACATAACAAGAGGGGCCACTTCTCTCTTTGAGCCAATTAAAAAAGTGTCCTCAAAATTTGGTGGCGCCCTCTTCACAAATGCGCACCCTTGGCGAACAGAGTTACCCTACTTGAGTTTAAAAAATCAAAGTGAAACTAGCAAGTTTTTGAATAAATTTCGGAAGAAAGCTTTTTTAAAATGGTTACGCTGACAAAAAACCTTCCGGAGGAAAGGGTGATTGTTTTCTTCGTTTAATTTGACTTTAGAATGAAAGGCGAGAGGTCATTAAAAAATTTTTAAAACCTAAAACTCCGCACTGAACGAACCCAAACTGCTGATGAACTGCAGTTGATCTGCGCACGCGAGGAAGTGCTATTCCTATTCTTCTTCTGGAAAAACGAAAGAGAGCATCAAAACAGACTGCAGCGCCATCTGAAGCAAAGAGCGAACTTCCTGCGGACACTTTTTTGGCTGAGTGGCCCATCTTGTTATGTACTATCTTTGATGGGAACAACCTATGATGTATGGAATGTCTGTCTGTGAGGACTGATTTTGAAATATTGTTTATATTTTTCTGCAGCTATGAAGTTGGAAGTCCCAGTAATCAACCAAACAGCATTTTCACTGAAATAGAAAAACTCCAAAAAGAAGTGACAAAGGTAAATCTCTCATTATATATACTGGCTGTCTCTTGTAATAATTGTGATAACTGGTCATCTCTATGATGAGCTGTATTTCAGGAGCTACTAATAACATACATGGATTAACGGATATAGGTTTGTTTTGAGTTTGAAGACACAGATGATTATCAGTCAGAAGACTTCCTCTGCTGCAGTCGTGTGAGTTATTGTATGCCATTAAAGGGAGACCATCTGCCGAAATTTTTACGACTTTACAATTAATTCATTTTCGTTCATGTATGTTATTGGTTGGTTTGTTCTTGTTGTGATGCTTCAGACTTTATGCCAGTATTTAACTATTTCATTCCTAGTAGTTGTAGAAAGTGAGAAAGTTCTTAAAGTCAACTAAATCAATGATAAAGGAGAAAAAAAAAAAGGATTCAAACAAAGGACAAATCAGGCTGGAACTGGAAACAAAAAATTAAAGTGGTGTTTTTTCTCTCTAGTATTATATGAAAGTAGAGTATGCAGGATGGGCTTCTTCAGTTTCATCCTACCAATATACTGACAAGAGCCTTAAGTATTTACCGTTTGATCAGCTTGATTTCTTTTCAGTTTGTGTAAATGTACAAATAGAATCCATTTATAACAACTAGAATAACAAGAACGTGTGAGGAACAAGATTATTCTTGATTCCTGTTGGGGTTTTTTCTCTCTTCATTCACTCGTTTCAAAATTTTACTTTGTACAATTTATTTTGATTTACTGTCAGGCATGGATAACTCAAACATGTTCGGAAGGGGGGGGGGTGACAAAATATGTGTATGACACATCCATAATCTGGGTTAATGGATATAGTGTAGCTGTGCACCTAAGACAAGATCGCATTGAAATCATTAATGTAGCGTTAATGCACATAAGACAAGAAAGCAACTACAGCAGTTATGGTTTCGACTTGCTTTTCACAAATCAATTCCCATAAACACAGAACACACTCTTGTACTTCAGTGTAGTGGATCAGAGCTGTAACTGCAAGGTTAAAAAGTCGCTCTCTAATTAGAACCTCACCAGACTAACTCTTTTCCCTGTGAGCAGCTAGTAAACAGTTCAAGAAAGAAAAAAACTGTCCCAAAAACTTGTGAGAGTTACAGAGAATGTGAGAGCTGACCACAATAGCAAAATATTCAAGAGATATGAGTTTGGGAATGGCAAATTGTATGAGTTTTCCGTGACTTTGAGTTTTCTATGTTCATTTTATCTGTGCACCACTGTACGTGCATTACTTGTGCACCGTCTTTCAGTGTCATTTGTTTTATTACTCAGTTTTTGTTCATAGTACCTCAAAGGGCTCAATTTGAAAGATTTTGAGTTCCTAGATCTGGAGAGAAATGCTAAGCCATTTGAGTGATGTGGCTCATAGCAATAAGCAACATAGCTTATTATCTTTATACAAAATTTAAAAAAAATGTTTGTGGGTGGTGTCATTCATCAAGTCTCTTCAGGTAGAGATCCATTACTGTTTTTATGATATGGTTTTGTATTACTAACTTGATGCTGTACACATTTCTTATTTGTGCATACATGAGACAATCTTAGTTAATCCAAGTAGCCAACTCTATTTCCTATCTTGTTCTTGATATTTTTTTTCTCAGCTTCAGAGAGTGATGCTGAACATCAGTGACAGAATCGTAACAATTGAGAAGTGCTTTGCACCTGACGAGGACCAGTGAGGCTTTGGACCAGAAGCACTGTACTCTCCCTTTTTTTCATCTTTGTTGTTCTCTTAATTTTGCTTGAAATTAGAAAGAATGAAATGTTGATGATAAAAGTTAATAGTGGGTGGTTGGCGGGTGCTCTGGTGTGGTTTGCTCCTTCTTTCCTATAAAACTACTGTCGTCTTTATCTCTCCAAGTTCTTTTTTGTGTTTGTTACTCTCTTGCAACACCTCTAATCTTCGGCATTTATATGACCTTGTTGTGTTGCAAGTGCCGTAAAACTCTTACCCAAAGAAAAAAAAAGAAAGTTAATATTAAGACACACCTTTTTTCCCCCATGCTTTTGACCACGTTTGAAAGAGGATTAGAAATTGAAAACAAATTGTTCACGATTACAGTAATGTTTTTTGTGTCCCTCGCTATTATCTCTGGCAACATCCAAAGGTTTATATTATTCTTCAGGAGTGTTGAATAGGACTAGGTGGTAATTGAATGCAGCTGCTAAGTGATGGCAATGCAGGAATGAACAGTACCGGGTATTAATTGTGTCACCACGCAATGAAATCAGGCGCTCGTCAGCTTTTGGGCACATGGAGTTATAGGTATCATATTAAAGTTTGTTCTTTTATCTTGCTTTTGTTGAAAAAAGTACTCATCTATCTTGAATAGAAGTCGAAATATTTGCAATTGAAAGAGTTGGGGGTCATCTGGTGTCAGAGGTAAAACTAGGGAAAAAATTGCAGCCAAAGTTTAGTGGCTTCCAAAGCTTTAGTGCCTTTGAAAACTGCATATACGTTTTTTAACTAAAATCTAGACTGAAATGTCTTCTTAAATGGACATAAAAGGTGTTAAACCAAAAACTGAAAATTCTTTAAAAAATGCTCAACAGCCCGAAAAGTGCCAGTTTCTTTGATGTCATTCTTTTTTGACGAGCGTCTGATTTCACCACGATGCCTCGCAGCTTTTATTCAAAGTTTTTTTTATCCATAATATACCTGGTATTTGGTGGAAATTGCAGAGGTAGTGTACAGCATCCCTTAAATGTATATTTATATTGTTCATGTATGTTGCTGATTGTGTAAATATGATTGTCCATAGTTCCGTAGGTCACAAATTAGTTTTGGTTAAGAAATTGATCTTATTTTGAGATTTTTAGATACATATTTACCCATGCTGCCATTTTTACAATTCTTTGGATAAGCTCATGAATGGGGAATTTTTTGCCATCAAAATTTTTAATCTTTTATGATGACACTATATTCTACCCAAATGTGAATCTTATTCTTAACAATGTAGATTTTATGTTTGTTACTGAATTCAGTATCTTTTACTCATTATTTTATGTAAATTCTCTGAAGCCTAAAGCTCCTTTTTCTGCTTTCAAGAAATAGCCTCACCTGTATTTAGAAAGGGACCTTTTCCTTTTCTATTGTGTGCTTGGTGTTTTGGGGCGAGAATGCTGCATGACTGACTGATTGATATATTGTGGAAAGATGAAAGAATGTAGATCTAATATTCTAACATAATCCTTTGTTAATGGGTGGTTTGCTCCTTCTTTCCTATCAAACATCTATCATCCTTCTCACTCCTCTTTCTTTTTTGTGTTTGTTACTCTCTTGTAAAACTTCCTAATCTTTGGCACTCATATGACCTAATTGTGTTGCAAGTGCCGTAAAACTCTTACTTAGCTAAGAGCTTATGTTGTTTCCAATGTTGAGTGGCTGTCGTTTACGTCATCTTCCTTGTTTTTGCCTTCCCAGTCTCTTGTCAGCTCAATTTTATTATGATGTACTGATAGTATTTGGTGGGGTTCAATATTGCTGGTGGGTGGTTGGCAGGTGCTCTGGTGTGGTTTGCTTCTTCTTTCCTATCAAACATCTATCGTCTTTATCTCCCCTCATTCTTTTTTGTGTTTGTTACTCTCTTGTAACACCTCTAATCCTCTGGCGCTCTTATGACCTTATGCAGTTGCGAGCGCCGTAAAGCCTTTACTAAAACTAAAACAATATTTCCATTGGCTTCTTGGTTCACTGTAATGTTTTATGACAAGCTGGATGGAAATTGTTGTTACTTTTACAATGTAT